CCAAAAAGTTCTTTGAACTAATTTGAAAGTTGTCACAAGACTTTTTTTTAGATTGTTGAGAGGAAAGATTTTAATCATGTTTTGCGGTAAGATACTGTGGAAGTAAATTTTTGTGTTTTAAGAATTAATATATTTAAATGCTGTATTTTGAATTCTTAATTTTAGTGTAAACATGTGTTAGCCAAAGATAGGCCAAACTATTCATTATCATGATGCCATATCTTGACTAAAGGATGTGACATCTACTATTATATCTAACTAGCTAAAAATAAACATGTTGAGCACATTAGAGGAAGGGAAAGATGTGAGATAGAGGTTCACTTTCAGGCTGACACCAATTTAATATGAAATTATACATTATGCATTAAGTAGGCCTAATTTTTTGACAGCTGTTTATTATGATTTTAAGCATGAATTCATATAATCATTAACAATTATTTAAGGTAAACATGAAATTTCATAGTTGTTATCTCTTGTAGTGTTGACTTACTGTTACTTGACTTATGTGCATAGGGTGTCGTGATCCTCCTCCATTTGAATCTGTTCTGTGCTTGCCTTTCAGCTTCCTGAAATGTTATGTCAGTGTCTTTTGCATTTGGTTTTTCAATCGTGTTGGTGAGCGTCCTGGTAGTCTTTGATCTGCCATCCTAACATGTCCAAGCTATTTTCTTTTGGCTGTGACTTCAGCTCAAAGACATCAAGCTTCCGCCATTCTGATTTGCGCAGTGCCCGTGATTCAGATCCATAGGTAGCGATTTTCATTTTAAGTGATCTCGTGATGTCATGATTGGACCAGATGGTCTTCTACTAAAAGCCCGGGCAGCCAGTCTGAATCAACACTTGACATCTGCTATTGTGTTACTACCAAGGAATATAAAGCTGTTAAGGGTGATACTGTACCATGTGGTTCGTCGTTGAGTTTCATTTACCATTTGCTAGCTTGTTTGTTGATATTTGGAGCTTCTCAAATATAAGTTAAAATTTACAAAGAAAAAGTAAGATACAACATCTTAACTATGTTAGAAATTGGAATCAATGGTTTGTCAGTGACGAAAATGGCGCCCGGTTGAACTCTTTTTGCGACGATAGCAACGAAGTAGTATCACACGGTATCGTGACGTAACAATGTAGTACTCGATACGATACTGGACCATGCTACAGAATAGTTTTCTCGGAATGGATAGACAATAGGGTAATTGCTCTGTAGTATGCTGGGTCCAACTTTTCTCCTTTCTTGAAAACTGGGGTAGTGAGACATTTTACTCTAATCTTTAGGAATTTTTCCATCAAGATACTCTGTTTTTATAACAGTTGTCTCAGGAAGGCTCCTACTTTTAGGGTGTCATCTGGAATTTTATCCCATCCACAAATGTTTTTTTTATTTTTCAACTTCTTGATACAGGTATTGCATGCAATATTTCTTGTCTTTAGGGAATTCAGTGTACAGATATTTACTGCAAAGTGTTCTTCCCAGTGTTTCATTATTTCATTGGGGGCTGTTTTCAAATGACCATTTTTGTCTTTAGCTGCTGCTTGTTTTTTTTTCTCTTTGCCAGCTAGTTCCCTATTAACTTTTTAAACAATCTGTGTTTTTTTTCACAAGCAACTTCCATTTCTTAACTACTTTTTCAAGGGTCAAGAGTCTTCTCTTCCTTTTAATGTTTCACTTGTTATTTGACTGATATATTTAATTTGGTGACATACTTATTTTTATTATATAGGTTTCTTCATAAGTATTCTTGTTTTTCTTGTCTGGTGACATGCCTTCTAATGGGGAGACCAAGGTGAAGTGGGGGCCTCGCTGATTATGTGAGGGGGAGGGGTGCTAACTCGCAAAATAAGGTTATTTGAGGTTATTTTTATCTACTTGACCATGATTTTTTGTGGGGACGACTGGGGCACAAGTATTTTTTAAATTAATATGCAAAGTGTACTAAATATATAGTATCAGATACATACTATTAGTTTTATGTAGCATTTTGCTGTAGAAACAGTGATATGTTTGCAGATTGATAGTAGATAACAGACCTTTAATAACAGTCGCTAAATTATTCATATTAGAGAGAAAGAATAGAGAGGATGTTTGCCTTCCAATCCTATGATATCAAATTCTTGAAAATATTAATTAGGTTCATTCAAAACTATATTCCTTACGCCTCTTGTCATTACTGAAATCATATTTGTATCTGACTTTGTTACTTGATGATCACCTAGGAATATAAAAAATGTTAAATTTTACTGTAGTCGTCTTATTGTTATCGAGTTCATACACCATTTCATATGCTGTTGAATGATACAATTTCCATGTATAGTGGTGAAAAGGGCAGTGATGTGAACACTTCTTTCTTGGTCCCACAATACAGTAGTAGGAAGAAACAAATAATATACTCCAAATGGAGAAGAGCTAATGGAACTGATTAATTGCTGTCAGATTAAGACTGAAATCCATGAGTGATTAATGATTTCGGAAGAACCTTTCTTAATTATCATGATTGCATTGTTTTTTCCAATTATAATGATGGACGATCCTCTTGAAGAAGAATGGGAAGATAATTCTCTGTTATAACCTTGCATTAAATGTTCATTTTAAAGCAGAATAAATCTTGCGTTTATAAGCAACACAGAAAGAAAAATGAATATTTCATGGCATTTGGTAGGATTGCCAAATTTTTCTCTGAAAATCATGTTAAATAGTGCTGTAAATAACTAATTCACACTACAATACAACACCTCAACAATGCAAAATTAAATAATTAATGTATCAAGACAGTTATACCGAATGCAGTATCCTAGCTACCCAGTAAACTGGTGCCAGCTACTCTCATCTGTCCACAACAGGGGCCGTATGGACCAGTACACCAGGGTAAACTACTAGTTCTGGGTTCTTTTAAGTGCATATGAGCCAGATTGTGTACACTGGGCCTATGGTTTGTAGTTCTTATCTAAGAAGACATTTTCCAGAACCAGACAAGAGTGCCAATATTGTGGCTATACATTGCGGCGCCCCTGCCTTAACTGCTCGGCCATCTAACTCGCAAGATACGAGTGACGTGGTTCAGAGCAGCAGTGAAAAATTTCAGGTTGATCGTTATCCGAGTTCACGCAATGACACGCTTGCAGATTCCAAGGTTTATGATTTTTTGCACATGACATACATAACGTTCAATAAAGATGCTAAGATAAATTCATATTTTCTTATGCTATGTAGAATGCTTTGATGACATTCTTTTGGTGATTTTTAAAAATCATTTTTACACAGTTGAAGTATTGACATGTTAACAAGTATATTGTTTCAGTGGAGTTCAATGGAATAGAATTGTCATGGATAGACAATCATTTGATGACGTTCCTAATGTTTAGTATTCCTAAAAAGTTGGATGTAGTAAAAAATTGCAGTGACTGTTGACCTCGGAAGATTCTAGGTTTCTAGGTTTAATTTTTTTCTCTCAATTTCATGGGCCGAATATTAGCAGTGTTTGAATTCCAGCTGTTCACCTTATACATGTTAATTGCCTTTTTATACATTGTTCCACGAACTTATTGTGTTAAAGATTGTCAGAGAGGGCTGAAAATTTAAAATTTCATTTTCTTATTTAGCAAATAGTTTTGCCAAAAACATTGAGATGTACTGTATAAGAAAATAAGAATAAAATTCTATTAGTGATTGAATGTAAACAGTGTAGTAATGAGATGGTTCAATGCTTTAAATTTATGTAATTAAAAAAAAGTATAAACATCTTACTTTTGGAGATTTCAAGGCAGTGATAGACGTAATAAAAATTTTAAAAAATTAAAAAAACTTTAGCGGTGGCGGGTGCAGCTAATTGGTAAAATATATAATTTTAGTTTTATTCAAAATCATCATTATTGGCAGGGCGGGTGTTTGCTAAACAAGGTTTTAAAAATGTCTTGCCTAGGGCCTTGCCTGTATTTTCACACTTGATACTAGGGTATCTATGTAAACATTTTTTAAAAATGAAAGCAACATTAATGCTGAATATGTTTTCAAAATTGTTTTAATATTTTGCCATTTTAATTACAAACTGTATTTTATGAATGTCATTAGCAACGACATCATTAGGAATCAACAAGTGTTGAAATACAGTAGAAAGCAATCCCTCCTCCTTATTGGTCAGAATGCCAATGCCTGATTGTTTAGAATCATATAATTTGATTGACACTTATGGAAACATTAATTAGGTAAAACATACTTATATATTTAGTTTTTGCAAATCCTATAATTTATATTCATGTAGAGATATGAAAAAGTGTAAAAGATACTGTAGTTGAGCTGGCAACACCTGCTAAGAAGCTCATGTTAATAGTGTCCCATAGGGAATGAATCATTGTATTTCATTGCCTATAATAGGGATGAAGATTCCATGTCTCTTTACTGTTAGTAGACATTACATCATAGTTTTTACTGTGAACTAGTTTTGGTCTTGCTAGAATTTTGGGTGGGGTTATTAACCTATAGTGAGAATATTTTGATATGAAATAAATATTAAATCTTGTTTTAAATATTCTCCCTCAAACACATATAAGATGAATGTTGAATGTCATTATTGTCAATAAAACCTTGGAATGTCTAGTTTTAGTTAATTGTCTGTTTGATTTCATATATGCTTGCTTTATATTCCATTTTGTAATGTTTAGTACAGTTGCAGCACCAGTGGATGGTCAGGGACATTGTTGGCTGCCACAAAGTTCATTTATTAAAAATATTTTGTCGATCCAATCAATTTTTGTGATTTAACTTCCTAATATGATTTGAAAGCTTGATATTTATCTAAACCATAAAGTCAGAAATTTTGGGAGCCTGACTACAGGTAGGGTTCATACAGTAAGTAGCCTCTTTGTTCGACTCCCTTTGCTGGCCACCTGTTGGTAATTTCTAGAGACATTTTAAAAATTTACTACTACTGTATTATTTTGTATACTAAATATTTTGTGTTAATTGTTGACATACACTAACTTGAAATTTTTCTTATCTTCAACAGTTATATGAAGTGTAGGACAGTCATTCAAACAAGTGCTTATTACTGTAGTGGAGGTGTTGTGCTAAACATTGAAACGGGACTGTCGCTATAAAAGGATATGAAGGGATCTATGACATATTGATATTTGAAATAGACATTTCAATCAATTATAAACATGAGTTGTAAGTATTTTTCTGACGTTCTTGCTGCTTTTGAATGTATGCTACTGTAGGTTAGTTTGTTAGTGTACTGTAGGTATAAAACAAAAATAAATGAATAATTTTATTGCATACTGCACTGAATTTCTGTATGCGCTTTACATTAAAGATAGAATACTTAAAGAAGAGATTTGGTCTCATACATTCACACTAGAGCATTGCAGCAAGGCTTTTGAGTTACCGCCTTTGCCTTCGGTCAAGCTCTTCATGGTTACTGTACAGTATATTAATCATTGATAGAGATCATTTAGGGACTTTATGACTTGTTTTCTGACCAAAGCCAACCCAAATTTGTGATGGGAAGAAATGAAATAAAATACGTAATACAACAAGTACTGCTAATTAAAAACCTATTTCAATTGTGGTTAGGCCATTACCAGTCTTAGTGGCCAATAAACTGCAAAAAATAAATTTTTTGGAAGCCAAGTAATAGATTTAACATCGTTTTATACGTGTGTGGGGAGCAACGGGAGGATAGAAATATCTTCTGTCTAAGTTTTGCATATTTTTTTCCATTCTATGTAAAAAATAATCGCATATACCGGTATATGGTATTTTAAGCATTGATCATGACATTCGCCAACTAGGCCTACTGTAGATTAATTTTTTCTACATTATCTCACATATCGCTTATAATATGGAGGGCAGCATTCCTAAATATGTGCATGGCTAGAGATGTTCCTGTCTGAGAATTTTCAGTAATGCAGAAACCAAGATTGTGTGGTGAAATCTAGATATTAGATAAGTACAATACTGTAGATTGTTATTTATGGCCTTGGTCAACAGTACATGAATAGCATAGTAACAACTCCCAATACGAACCTTATAAATACGAACTCCATATTTTACGAACACGAACAATGATTTTTTCTAAAAACATTTAAACATTCTCGAAAAATATTATGTAATGTTATATCAGATTAGAAAGAAAATTTTGAAAACGACAAATCACCATAAACATCCTTTTAAAACAAAAAAGATTGATTGTTTTTATCTATTCAAATCAGAGCTGTGCAATTGGCCAGGCAGCTAACAATTTGACAATTTCTGCTTGTTGGTCTTGCTGTTCCAAAGGGTGTTCAGTTCTGTAAACTTAAGATTGATATGAGAATAATGCTTAGTTTTCACTTCCAATATTCTTAAAATAATTTTAAATGAAAATGTTGCAGTGAGTACATAAATTTTGACATTGCATTTTTTTAAATGAAGACAATATTGGTTTCAAGAGTTGGTTACAGGCAACTTAATCAATCAGTTGAAGGGCATTATAAAGCACCAAATCTCCACAACATTACATCTGGCCCATTGTAATGCTCTTGGCAACTATACTCAACAGGCCTGTACAGTATCCGAACAGGTGAGATGGTTGCGTACGTCCACCCTCCCCATCAAATCGGGCGCATCTTTAAGACAGTCGAGAATGTGAATATAATTTGTTACTTTGCTGTAATAGTTAAGAAGAATTATTAATTTCTTACATTTTAATGAACAATATATCGTTATGCCAGTGTGTGGGCATACAATATGTGAGGTCTCACCACAAAATGAGACGCATCGTTGGTGAAATCATTTTGAGATAATCACCAAAATAGGTCATAAGTCAAAATTTTACACAATTTTGATTTTAATGTTTTTGAATAACTTGATATTTATATTTAATGATTGTAAACTTTTTAAGTGAATTTTCTTACTAAAACAGTGTTCTCTGTGCATATTCTGTAATTCTAGTCCTATTATTTGTACAGGTTAGTTTATATTGGAGGCCGATTTTCAAAATGTGGTTCTCTTAAGATCAACTCAGACAGCGTCGGCCGACGCAGCCCGACCCGATTTATCGTCGGGGTCAGTCTTGAGCCGTCGTGAGAAGTATTAAACATGTTTAATATTCTACAACACGCCTGCCCCCGACGCACACCATCACGTCTGCGTTTAACTCACACAGACGCGATTTGTTGTCGCGTCGGACTGCGTTGTACGACGCTGTCTGAGTTGGCCTTTACACATAATATTTAAATGCTCACATCTCTGGATCTACATATCCTAGTGAAGACATTCAAAGACCAAATTAAAGCTTATAATGTGATCTACCCAAATATAATATTAACTCAATTTTTGATATTATAACCATGACTCATTTTGTGGTGAGGCCTCACATATACCGTATATTCCGGTGTATAAGCCGCAAATTTTATACGCGATTTTCCCCCCGAAGTTTGGGGTGCGGCCTATACACCGGTCATTACCAAGTTCAGATCGCGAGCCGCAGCGAAAATCTCGCGCCGTCTGTCTAGGTTAGGCCCACGATAGCCCAATTAATTAGCCTAGGGTAGGACCGGTTTTTAGGCCTATTATTTGTAATTATACTCACTACAGTGCTGTGCTAGGATTCCTACTACATTTTCTACGACATTAGCAATGATTTGGGTTGTCTAAATAACTACTTTCATAATTACGTTCACTCGTAAACAATTTTGAAACACGCTGTTTCTGTTCGAAACCGCTTCGCTCAAAAACAATAACAAACTACTTTTCAGGAGTTAATTGGGTCCTCGAGGTCACGTGAGCAGCTTCATTTTCGATGTCGCAACAAAACACACATGGGCTGGTAAAACTTGCTGTTCAACGTCTGATTCCCGGTTGCTTGTACCGTTACAGAGAGAATATTGATACCGCTATAATTTTAGAATAAAAACTTGTGAAATTAATTTATGCTATAAAAACACGAGTTTTCTTGAAGTTGTAATAATTATTTTACTGGAATTTAACTGTAGAAAGGCATACATCATGGGCATGCGTGAACTCCATATCCACGATATTTCTCCAGTTCTGAGTTTTGTTTATAAAACGTGGTGCGTGATGGTCCATGCTTCGTACAGTGGGCTGTGAGTGTGAGTAGTTAGTAATGGCCTAGAATTACCAATTACAAGTATTAGTCAACATAATAATAGAATGATTGTTTAAAATAGATAAATATACTCAATAAGTGTTTTATTTTATTAAACCGCTTAAACTAAACTGATGTTGAAAATTTAACGTAGCACGACCGTCTAGCAAAAAATGGGGATTTCCCTAGGGCCGGCTGCCTAGAGCAAGTACGTTGTTAACATGGCGGTAGCCAGCAGTTTACATGCATTTCCAGTTGTTGTTTGTTTAATAATCGGCCGAAAAAGATGAAATTTCTTTATGTGAACATTTATAAATAATGTCAATGCTTCAAAATAATTAAAAACTTAACATTATGGGAATGGTTTGGAGCTTTAAAATAGGTGCATCTTATACACAGGTGACACAAAAAATCGTGATATTCTTGTCCTAATTTGGGGGGGGGGGCGGCTTATACACAGGTGCGGCTTATACACCGGAATATATGGTAAGTTGCTTTAGTGATGGAAAACCTTTTGAAGCAAAGTGGCAATCTTAGATACAGTACAGGGCTGAATAAAACTGACATTACCTCATCAAAGTTATCAAACTTTTTATGTTGTTTATCTTTTATGATATTCTGTGATAGACTTGTTTAATAGTAATCCACTTACCTTGAACTTATCTGTAGTGCTGGATTTTACACAATATGTTATAGTTGTATAATTGTAAATGAGTCTAGGGAAAACATAGTTCATTGTTAAATTTTTCTAAAAGTTTTTGAACACGGTCATTACACTTTTCAGCACCAGGAAATAATAGCAAAATCCCAGCCTATTTACAGTACACAAACTATATTACTGTATTAGACACATCAAAATGTCTGCATTGTTGTAAAGTTACATGTTAAAGTTTGTGGATAAATTGTACTGTAGTACTGTATGTAACGATGTCTATTTTGGTTTAAAATCTCTGCTGTGTACTTTATAGTTAAGTTTTCAATTTTTATAGTAAGCCATTGTCTTAATATGTTAGATGCATTCTTGGTTTGCTTATTCTATTTACAATGCATAGGTTGTATCTGTGATACAACCCATATAAGTAGTACTGTACTTTCGCTGGCCAGAGCTTTTAGTTGTGAATTTAAGGTTGATAAAAAAAACTTTAAAAATGTAATTGAACAGTGTCCAATCGGAACAGAGGCAGGAGGTTCACACTGTCATTTTGTAGTATATTAGCAACAGTGTCCAAGGGGCAGTTTTGGGAAGGTCCAAAAAGCCCTGGTTCTCAACTTTCAATTGCAGTTTAAAAAACAGACTTGAGTTGCAAAATTTTATAAAATGTTGTGCTTGTGTTTCAAGACTTCCAGGCACATCGATCCAAACCTGACCTGAATCGGCCATGGGACCTCCGTTGATATTACAGTAGGCCAAAATGAGTCAATTCAGTGCGAGTTTTTCTCATCAGAGGACAAGTTCAGGCTGATGTGTATGTTCTAAAGCACAGGTGGGCAAAGTGCGGCCAGCGGGCCATGTGCGGCCCGTCAGCGATTTTTTTTGTGGTCCGCAACAATGAATTAAAACCCTATGTTTGCGGCCCGCCAATCAAAATTGGCTAGAAAACACCTTTGTTTTTACGGCCTGACACCAATCATGTAAAATGTAACGTTAAAACTGAGAATACAGTGAGGTAAATGCAGTGCTTTGAAGTTTTTGGAAGCTCACAGGAAACATCAAAGTTTGGGTGCGGCCCTCCGTGTTAAATCAAAAATTCACTTTGGCCCTCCGACTGATTTTTATGCCCACCCCTGTTCTAAAGTTAAGCATATTGACAGTGTTTAGTATGGATTCATCATGAACAACAAATTGAGCATGGTATTTTGTGTTACTTTTATTTTACAGATCAAGTAACAAAAAACCCCTCAGTTTTATAGACAAAACAGTTAATTTTACAAATCAAATAAAAAAAAATAAATTTATTTCCTAACATTTTTGGTGCTTTTTTTGTTACTTTGAGCATTGCTTTGGGGGAAGGGGTGGGGCAGGTATTTTTATGGCTAAAATTTAACTGCTATGTCAAATCAGACAATGAAAAGCTTCTAG